CACTCAATAAAAAGGTTTTGGCCCCAAATTCTTGTGGTTTACACTCCTTAAACTGGAGAATGAGGTAGTATGCGCAGGAGACACTCAATAAAAAGGTTTTGGCCCCAAATTCTTGTGGTTTACACTCCTTAAACTGGAGAATGAGGTAGTATGCGCAGGAGACACTCAATAAAAAGGTTTTGGCCCCAAATTCTTGTGGTTTACACTCCTTAAACTGGAGAATGAGGTAGTATGCAAGGGAATAAGAGAAGACACAGAAAATGAAAGGGTTTATCTTCCTGGAACATCAGTTTTGGTAAAAGATTAGGGATAAAATTTACATTTATATTAAAACAAACAGAGTTGAACTATGGAGTAGAATACAAAATTCACACGAACTTTTGAGATAAAATTTTCAAAGAAACGTCAGGTTTGCAGCAGAGAGCTTAAGGTTCCTTCTCAGCTTCTCAGGGTGTCTGAGTCCCACTCCTCTATGGCTGGGCTCAAGTGAACCTAACGGGCCTATAGGGGAGCTAAAAGACACCTTTTGCCTAGCAGACACACTGTATGTAGGAGTTAGCTGGTTTCTGAAACAAAAACGTTTCAAGTTTATAGAAAATTGGTTCAAGCTAGATTCTAAGTCTTTCTCAAAATCACATCAGAAGAAGAGAATTAACAGAGAAATTTTCTCAGTTAAATTCAATTGCACAAAGAAATGCTTTTCTGGCATCTATTTTAACATCCTCCCCAAAGTTTCCCCTTATTACCAGGACTATGAAGCACCAACCTAGTCTGTACCAAGGCCAAACAAGGATGAAACTTCTTTTCTCTTGTCTCCCACCATTGCGAGAAAAGGGGGTAGAGAAACAATGGGGAGGAGGTGATGATGCATAAAGAGAAAGAAAAAAAGAGACAAGGGGAGGAGGGCAGCTGCACACCCCCAGGCAGAAACCAGAGGCCCTTCTTACATTTCTGTCCTCAGAAGAAAAGAACTCAAAAGGAGTCCAAGGAATAGACGCCATGGAAAAGAAGGAAAAGGAATCAGAAAAAAGTCAAGATATTCAGAAGAGTAGTATGTCACATTGAATCAACATCCTCTTTCCTCAACATACCACAGACTCCACCTTCCTGGCTTGAAACCCATTTCTGTACTATCCAGAATGGATTAGCAGTGATTTTACTGTGTACGTGGGAGGTGGGGGGAGATTGAACAGTGGGAAACAGGAAAACCTACCGAAGTTTCCTTAGCTCTAAATTAGAGAATGAACCTTAATTCCTTCTCTCCCTTATTCACCGCATCCTATCCAATTACTGTGCTCCTGAGTATTTCCTGAATCCATCCATTCCTGTGGAGGCCTACAAATACTCTGGGATCAGGCCCTGAGCAGAAATAATAACGGTTGTTAATATTTATATCGTGCTTGCTATGAGCCAAGCACTATTCTAAGTGCGTGGTATAAATTCATTTAATCCTCCCAACAATATGATGGGTAGATCCATTGTTCTCCCCCATATTCTAGATAAGAAAACTGACTCACATGATGATTAAGAAACTTGCTTAAGGTCGCAGAGCCATGTAACTGTGGCATTAGCATTGTGCTGGACGGAGCCTGTGCTCTCAACTGCTATGTGCAACTATACTGCCTTACCAACATTTTTAGTGAATACTTACTCTTTGCCAGGTACCATTCTAGGCTCTTAGGATGCAGTGGTCAAAAATCAAAGTTCTTGACCTCAAGATTAGAATCTCGGATCTTGCCTTTATCAAAGACCCAAAAATAACCTACTTAAACCAACAAGTTGACCACATCACTCTTGTACTTAAAGCCATTTGATGCTTTCTACTATGGCAATATGGCGCATCGAGCTTCCATAATCTGACCTCAGACTAAAGTACCTCACCAGCTTCCTCTCCTCATGCATCTGCCTTCCTTGATGTCATAATCCAGTAACTTCTTTCTGATCAGAGGTCACTGAACACACCAGCCTGATTCATATAGCCTACCCTTACCCTTATTTTCTCTACCTAAAATGCTTCTCTATTCCTTACCTCCCCGTACCACCCATTCACCTAACTCCTACTGATATTATAGTCTTGGTCCAGGTACATCTGCTTTTAAGAAATCTTAGACCTACTTAAGCTAGGTTAGGTACCCTATCTTATATACTACATGAGAACTCTATGCTTAACTCTATTAGAGCAGTGAATCACTCTGAACTGTAATTATCTGAGTGTTTCTTGAGAGTATGGACTATTTTGTAATTGTACACAAAAAGATGGCGATGGTCCCTTCACATTTGTTTCTCCTCTTATAAAAATGGGATTATACTATACATATTGCTTATAAGGTTTTCTTTTAAAGGTTTTGATAACACAATTTCTTTTCCCCCTTTTTGTCTTTTTTACTGACCGGCAACGGGATCGCAACCCTCGGTGTCGCGCCCGCACCGCGCTCAGCCAGTGAGCGGGAACCGGTCTCCACATGGGATCCGAACCCTCGGCGGGAGCGCCGCCGCGCTCCCAAGCGGCGCACTCTCCAGTGCGCCACCAGGCCGGCCCTTGATAACACAATTTAAGTTAAAATTGCTATACATATTTACTCACAAGAAAATTGCAATAATATTATTGCACGACTTATTATTTTTATATTGTTAGCAGTTGGCCGGTACAGGGATCTGAAACCTTGACCTTGGAGTTATAACACTGCACTCTAACCAATTAAGCTAACCGGCCAGGCCTGCAGTAATATTATCATTAACTTCAACCAGCATTTATTAAAGGCCTTCTGCATGCCTTCTATGCTATTTATAGTATATATATACATGCTTTGCTAACCCTCTTAATCTACAAGTTGGCAAAATCCATACTGTAGGAAACTCTACTGGATAATCAGATTTCTTTAATAAAAAAACTGCACGCATGTGAGGCAGGGGACAGATAGGTAGACAGGGAGGGGGAATTGAATCAAAAGAGACTAAAAATCATATCAGCGAGCCACCACAAAAAATTGTTTTAAATATATAAAAGAGACAAAAAAGGCACATGAATCAATCAGTGTAACTGACCTTATTTGAATCCAGACTTGAACAAATGCTTTTAAAACTGACATGTATGATACGTCTGAAAATTTGAATGCTGATTGGATATCTGACGACCTTAAGGAGTTAATTTTTATAATGGTGAAGTATTAAAACGAGTTTTTTAAAAATGAGAATCCTTATCTGTTAAAGACATTCTAAAACATTTACAGATGTAATGATACGATGTCTGCAATCTGCTTCAAAATTAACCCACTTGCTCATGAGTTGTTAATTGTTAAAGATGAATAACAGGCGCATGAGGGTTTATTACATGTTCCATTTTTTGTATATGTTTGCAATTTCCCAGAATAAAAGGGTAAAAAAATTCTCCTCGTCAACATCATTAATATTTTCATATATATAGGGGAGAATGCACAGAAAAGAGACCAGGAAGCTTAAAAAAAGAACCAACAGAAAAGAAAGAGAGAAAGATAATACTAATCTAAGAGGTCCAACATCCAGTCAATATGTACTCTAGAAAATAAGAGTGACAGATGGTAATTTTCAGGTATTACTTTTTTTTGGTGGATGGCCAGTATGGGGATCCCAACCCTGACCTTGGCGCTAGAACACCATGCTCTAACCAATTGAGCTAACTGGCCAGCCCACTCCTTTTTCAAAAAGAAAAAAAAAAAAAAATATCAGAACTGAAGAACATGAGTTTTCCAATTAAGGGTCTACTGAATACCCAGCATATTTGATTTTAAAAATCAATAACAAGGCACATTTTTTGACACTGCAGAATACTGAGGATTGAGGGGGAAAAAAAAAAGATCCCAAAAGTTTAAGTTTCCAGAAAAGAAAAACAGAGGGCTGGACAGCACAGTGCTGTAACACCAAGGTCAAGAGTTCATCAGCCTGCAAAAAATACAGGTCATAACAGACTACAAATTGGAAACTTTTTAGATTTATCAATAGCAAACCCGGAAGTTAGAAGATAATACAATGCAATGCCTCCAAAATTCTCAGGGGTAATGCTAATCACCTAGAATTCTCTATTAAGAATGGTATCAAATAATTTAGTTTCCATGC